CACACACACACACACAATAAATAAATGTAATAAATAAAAATAAATAAATATTAAAAAAAAAAAAGATAAAGGATTAGCTAGGCATGATAGCTCACTCCTATAATCTCAGCACTCTGGGAGGCTCAAGGAGGAGGGTCACAAATTCAACCCCACCTTGGACAACTTAATGAAACCTTGCCTCAAAAGGAGGCTGGGACCATAGCTTAGTGTAAACACTATGGGTTTAATCCCTAGCACTGCAAAATTAATCAAAAATTACTTTTAAAATTAATTTTTAAAGTTAGGAAGATAGCTTGGCAGTCAAAGCACCTGACTGGGGCCGGGGAGATGGCTCAGTGAAATAAGCGCTTCCCTGGCAAGCGCAAGGGTCTAAATTCAATCCTTGGTTCCGAAAAAAAAAAAAGAAAAAAAAAAAAGAAAAAAAAAAAAAGCACCTGACTGGCAGGCACAAGGTCCCAAGGCCAATCCTCAGTACCACATGCCATACAGCCCCGGAACTGGGCATGGCAGTGTATGCCTATAATTCCAGCACTGGGGAGGCTGAGACAAAAGTATCACTATGAGTCTGAACTGAGTAGCTACACTCTATAGCAAAAATAAAAATAAATTCAATCTTTAAAATAATAACTTTTAAAATAAGAAATTAAGGGTCAGGAGATGGCTCAGTGGAATAAGTGCTTCCCTGGCAAGCACAAGGGCCTGAGTTCAATTCCCGGTTCTACCAAATTAATTAATTAATAAAAAGTGAAAAAATTATTAGTAAAGTTTTTTTTTTAGCTCTCAATCAAAGCAAAAACATATACATATTGAGTGAACTCTAAATATAAACCTTCCACAGTCGAAATCCCTTTTAATTCAGCAAGAGGAGATGCTGGTTCTGTTTTCATAGTGTTTTCTCCCATTGACTTGCAGTTCAACTCCAAACCTGCAGACCCTAATCCATCCCCAAAGGAGTGGCAAGTTAGCGTAGATGAGACCTGGCCAGCTTCCAAAGGTGATTTCAAATGACCTAGGGGGAAAAAAAAAAAAAAAAAAAAAGTAAGTAAGTGTGGGGAACATATGTATGTACATAATCTGGAAACCACAAGTCCAATAATAGACTAAGGGAGCCAGGAACCTGTTAAAGGAAGCTATTCATCTAACAATATATAAGAATATACTCACAAGTTCCTCAGCATATATCTCAAAAGAGGATAAAGTGAAAGGAGAAATTCCTAGAAATGTCAATTTTAAAAAGCATGGAGTGGGGCTGGTGAGATGGCTCAGTGGTCTAAAGCACCTACTTAGAACAAGCTTAGCAAAGCACAGGAACCACGGTTCAATCCCCCAGCCCCACATGCCAGCCAGCCCCGCCCCCTGGTGGGCTGAGCTGGCCACACACACACACACACACACACACA